TTTTCTTCTGATACCTGTAATGCAGCTTACAGACAGTTAAGTCAATCAAATTATTATCTGCTATTAGTTTGTTTAAAGATCTAAGTAGTCGATCATGTTTAGGAGCAAGCATGCGCCAGAATGAGTAAAAAATATGTGTCCTCAAGCAGTAAGATGAGTAAACGACAACAGAAAAGATTGTCGAGAAGAAAGAAGAATCAGAAGAATCGAGAATTGAAAGAATGTCGAATGAATGCCAAACTTTGGCATAAACATTGCCGTCGACTTGCCAAGTGTTGTCCGGTGTACAATCAGTTAGTGCATCACAAATTAACCTCATTTTAATTTACACCTAACTGTTCCATCGAAAAAAAAAAGTCTTTCGTTAATCTCTGCTCAACGTCAGTCTTAAAACTTAAACATTTTTTTAATTTACAGATTTGTTTATCTCTTTCATATAATAAATTATTACGGGAATAATAGAGTTAAGAAAGTTATGTTCACAAAATTAAATTAATCAACTTTTTCGTTATCGCGTGAAATGTTTATGTATTTTATGCCGTAGAAAAAACGAAAATGTAGAAAAGGAAAAAGGAATGGAATTTTTTTTTCTAAACTGTATAGGGTTTCTTTAGGTTATTATGCATTTGTTTTACTTAAACATCAATCCAAACTATGCTGTACAGATTTACTTTTTTTGTTTTACAATCATTAAGCGTGACAACGTAATTAGACGCCTATCTAACCTGTACCGTTTCCAGTTTGAAGAATCAGCTTATAAAACTATTAAGCTGAGATAGGCGAAAACCTGGAAAGATTTATTTCTTTCTTTTTTTGATCTATTTTAGGTGTTCTGATTCGGTTGCCGAGATACAGAAGCAAGTAGCAGAAGAAAAGCAACGATTTTATGACTCCCGAGCATGGTGTATAGAGAAGGGCTTTCTGAAGAAGCGTTATTATTCTCGTAAAGCCTAATCGACTGGATATCATAGCTGATAATTATATGTTGCGGTGGTTTTCCACGAACAAAGATGGAGCTAAATTACAATAACATCATATACTTCTTCTGCTTTCCATTTTATCCATATTGGTAGTAGCTGCAACTGAAGATAAGCTAATCTGTCTTAAATTTGTAAATAATTTAACTATTTTCAAAAGGGAAAAAAACCAAAAACAAAAAGAAATTTTTTATTTGTGACAGAGAAAATATCAAAAATACACTTAATTGAAGATATTTTTCTTTTTTACATTTTTTTCTTTAT